ACGTTGCAATTGTTCCACCCAGAAGATGAGGTTAGGTTAAAAAGGTGCTTTTAGGCTATTTTGAAAAATTAGTCAACTTTCTGCCTATTAGGTAGATCATGTTTAACCTTGAAAAGGTTATTTGATCAAATAACCTTTAACTATTTTCAAGGTTATTCATACAAGTTACCTTTGTTTTTGAAGGTTATTCATACAAGTTACCCTGTTTTTCAAGGTTATTCATACAACTTACCTTTTTTCCCAAGGTTATTTATATCATCTACCTGGGTGTGCTTGCTTTTATGCTTATGTCAACAGCAGCCAATGTGACAGTACGCACGTATTGGTTTGAGTTTCTTTGTTTCAGCAAGTAAACATGGTTTCACCCATTTGTTGATTCTTTGGTCTGATTCTTTGGCCCTTCCACTTCGTAGGTATCAAACCTGTACATCACTTTTCCTCCTTGGTTGACCCCTGTGATGTCACCACTGGCCAGCGCCTGGTTGAAGGCATCAGCATCGCCATGGAAGTAGTGATGGAGCATGATTGCACGTGGAAAACTGGTCTGGGCATCTTTGCCAAAGCTCTTGTCAGAGGTCTCTTCAGCCAGCTTCTGAAACTGGGATTGTCTGCCTGCATTTCCCAGCAGCCTGTCTTGGAGTTCTTCTTGTAACAAGCAGTCCACCGACATGGTTTTTTCTTCCGTGGTTTCAGATTTTTCCCAGATCTCCTTGATCTGTGCTGGAACTTTTCCTGCTTTGAGCAGCCTGTTGAACTTCCACCAGCACCTTTGGAACGCTTTTCATTGTGACAATCAGGATCCACACATTCATCCTGTTCTCTCACTTCTTCTTCTTCTTTTTCTTCTTCTCCCTCAACCTTCTCAACCTCTTCTTTCGCTTCTGGCACCCCAGACTGGAGCTTGGAGACTTGGTCTCTGGTACCACCTTTGGCAGCAGGCCTTTTGAAAGGTGCAGGGGTGTCTTCCTTTTTGTTCCTCTTTTCTTTCTTCTCCTTTTGTGTCTTCTCCTTTTTGTCCTTGGCACTTCCTTTGGCTTTGGCCTTTGGCATCGGTTTTTTCCCTTTGAAAGTCTTTGGTGGTGTCTTTGGCACCTTGGGTTTGCTTCCTGCCTTTGAGCTTTGGAAGCTGGTTTTTCAAGCGGTTGCTGCTCTTCCTCCTCTTGCTCCTCTTCCTTATTCTCATTCTCTTCATTTTCCTTCTTTTCGGGTTCCATGGCCACCTCAGAAGCCTGGCTGTAGCAAGGGCTCCCAGGTAAATACCTGGCAGTAGTTTTCACTGGGCTGTTGTGCATGGAGCGACAAAAAGTGTGTAATTGGATACCTGGTATTCACTATTTAAACATATTAATTTGTTGGAGTGTTACTTGAAGGTTATTAGAAAGATATTTTTACATTGTGGATAACTTCTTGAAGTGGTATTTGAAAATGATTAGAGATATATTTCTACAGTGTTCATGTTGCCAGCAAAACCTTGGAAGTGATGGTGCTTGAGAGCAGCACACACTGTGTGTGCATCTAGTCTCTACTATTTGCTGCTAATGACAAACATTTTAGATTTCAACCATGTTAGCATTGCTGCTGTTGGCTTTGGGCCTGGAAAGAATGCAACAGAAAAATGCCATGCAAGCACCTACAGGACTTCTGTTTTTGGTGATGGTTTTGATGACAACGATCCTTTTGATTTGGAGAAACAAGAAATTTTTGCAAAAGTCCCAGCCAAAAAATGATTTTTTTTAGGAACTTTTGCAACACAGTGCCAAGGTGCCTTAGCAGTTTGCTTAGAAGTTTCTAAGCAAAGTGCTAAGGGGCCTTAGCAGTTTGTTTAGAAGTTTCTAAGCAAACTGCTAAGCTGCCTTAGAAGTTTCTAAGCAAAGTGCTAAGGGGCCTTAGAAGTTTCTAAGCAAACTGCTAAGGCCACCTTAGAAGTTTCTAAGCAAACTGCTAAGGCCACCTTAGAAGTTTCTAAGCAAACTGCTAAGCTGCCTTAGAAGTTTCTAAGCAAACTGCTAAGGGCCTTAGAAGTTTCTAAGCAAACTGCTAAGGGCCTTAGAAGTTTCTAAGCAAACTGCTAAGGGCCTTAGAAGTTTCCAAGCAAACTGCTAAGGCAGCTTGGTAGTTTGCTTAGAAACTCCTAAGGCAGCTTTGCAGTTTGCTTAGAAACTCCTAAGGCAGCTTAGCAGTTTGCTTAGAAACTTCCAAGGTGGCCTTAGCAGTTTGCTTCGAAACTTCTAAGGCCCCTTAGCACTTTGCTTAGAAACTTCTAAGGCAGCTTAGCAGTTTGCTTAGAAACTTCTAAGCAAACTGCTGAGGCCCCTTAGCACTTTGCTTAGAAACTTCTAAGAAAACCGCTAAGGCACCTTGGCACTGTTTTGCAAAAGTTCCTAAACAAATCATTTTTTGGCTGGGACTTTTGCAAAAAATTCTTGTTTCTCCAAATCAAAAGGATCGTTGTCATCAAAACCATCACCAAAAACAGAAGTCCTGTAGGTGCTTGCATGGCATTTTTCTGTTGCATTCTTTCCAGGCCCAAAGCCAACAGCAGCAATGCTAACATGGTTGAAATCTAAAATGTTTGTCATTAGCAGCAAATAGTAGAGACTAGATGCACACACAGTGTGTGCTGCTCTCAAGCACCATCACTTCCAAGGTTTTGCTGGCAACATGAACACTGTAGAAATATATCTCTAATCATTTTCAAATACCACTTCAAGAAGTTATCCACAATGTAAAAATATCTCTCTAATAACCTTCAAGTAACACTCCAACAAATTAATATGTATAAATAGTGAATACCAGGTATCCAATTACACACTTTTTGTCGCTCCGTGCACAACAGCCCAGTGAAAACTACTGCCAGGTATTTACCTGGGAGCCCTTGCTACAGCCAGGCTTCTGAGGTGGCCATGGAACCCGAAAAGAAGGAAAATGAAGAGAATGAGAATAAGGAAGAGGAGCAAGAGGAGGAAGAGCAGCAACCGCTTGAAAAACCAGCTTCCAAAGCTCAAAGGCAGGAAGCAAACCCAAGGTGCCAAAGACACCACCAAAGACTTTCAAAGGGAAAAAACCGATGCCAAAGGCCAAAGCCAAAGGAAATGCCAAGGACAAAAAGGAGAAGACACAAAAGGAGAAGAAAGAAAAGAGGAACAAAAAGGAAGACACCCCTGCACCTTTCAAAAGGCCTGCTGCCAAAGGTGGTACCAGAGACCAAGTCTCCAAGCTCCAGTCTGGGGTGCCAGAAGCGAAAGAAGAGGTTGAGAAGGTTGAGGGAGAAGAAGAAAAAGAAGAAGAAGAAGTGAGGGAACAGGATGAATGTGTGGATCCTGATGGTCACAATAAAAAGCGTTCCAAAGGTTCTGGTGGCAAGTTCAACAGGCTGCTCAAAGCAGGAAAAGTTCCAGCACAGATCAAGGAGATCTGGAAAAATTCTGAAACCAGGGAAGAAAAAACCATGTTGGTGGACTGCTTGTTGCAAGAAGAACTACAAGACAGGCTGCTGGGAAATGCAGGCAGACAATCCCAGTTTCAGAAGCTGGCTGAAGAGACCTCTGACAAGAGCTTTGGCAAAGATGCCCAGACCAGTTTTCCACGTGCAATCATGCTCCATCACTACTTCCATGGCGATGCTGATGCCTTCAACCAGGCGCTGGCCAGTGGTGACATCACAGAGGTCAACCAAGGAGCGAAAGTGATGTACAGTTTTGATACCTACGAAAGTGGAAGGGCCAAAACTTCAGACCAAAGAGTTGAGAAATATGTGCGTGATATTTGTGAGAGATATTGGAGAGTATCCAGTGAAGACAGAAGGTAAATGATATAAATAACCTTGGGAAAAAAGGTAAGTTGTATGAATAACCTTTGAAAACAAAAGGTAACTTGTATGAATAACCTTAAGAAAAAAAAGGTAAATTGTATGAATAACCTTAAAAATAGGTTAGGTTATTTGATTGGATAACCTAAAGGGTTCTGACTAATAGTTAGTTTCGTTTTACCTATTAGGCAGAAAATAGTCTATAACCTAAAAGCACCTTTTTAACCTAACCTCATCTTCTGGGCAACTACCAGTCCCTCAGCTCGCTGGTTTCTTTTTCTTTTTCTCGGTGTTAGCTTTCCTACCGATTGGTTTAAGGGCGAAACCATGCGAAATCCACATGCTGATCAATATATAAGCCATGTGCCATATCAGCCATTCTTTTGCAAGATTTGGAAGACCTCGGATTTCCAGACACAGTTTAACACCCCAATTGTCTCTTCATTTTTTGATAGTTTAGGGCTGAACACTGCTTGAAGCCCGCGGATGCCAGACGGAAGGATTGCAACCGAGCACTTCCGTGGTGTAGATATGGTGCCCTTGGAAAGCAGTTTGCAGACGTGCATGTTCTACAGCTCGTCCTGCAACATGTTTACCCCTTGGAACGCTTTGGCCCTTTGGGATTTTGTGTGCAATCGGTTTTAGCATGTTTTGACCCCTGCCCTGTTTGTAGCTGAGGCAAACCTCACTTCCATTTTCAGAATGACGATTGCCGGAAGTGTGGAATCCTCAATGCTTGGTCTGATGGAAAGAAGGATGTTTGTCACGTTCTGCCACGCCAGAACTCAGCAGAGTTGTTCGCACTCTTGACAGGTGCAGCTGTCGTGGTCATTTTAACCTTCCTTGCTTTTGCGATTTTGCATGCTCCTTTGATGATCGTGGATGCGAAATCATATTGGGACCCAAGGCAAGCTGAAAGCAAAACCATTTTCACGTTTTCCGTGCAGGGGCCGATTGTTGATCTTCCCAAAAGCCTGGCTCGATTGGTGAACCGAAGGGTGCGTTTTCGGGCAAGGGGAACAGGATTGATATGGCTAGACTATGACCAGAAGAAGTCCAACGCAATCAAAGTTCGCAGTATTGCACGCAGAAAACTTTTGCTGCAAGACACGAGTCCCCCATTTTTTTGCGCTTCGTGCAAGGGTTCTTTGCACGCCGCTGATTTTGCTTACCTGCTTATCTTGCTCACTGCATGCATATTTGTTGGTGCAATGCTGCCTGTCATCATCAAGGTACTTGGAGGATCAGCCTGGTTAGTAAGTACTTATGATATTTACTATGTACTTGAGGTACTTAGTGCACTTATGGCTAAGTTAGATAGCACACTTAGCTTTGAGCCACTTAGCGGACTTAGCTAAGTCTACTTAGCGTACTTAGGCTAAGTGGGCTAAGTCACTTAGACAGCTTCAATCCTAAGTCCCCTAAGTGACTTATATGTACATGTAACTACATTTTTTTTGAAGTATGTTGATTTTTTGTAGCTCTACAATGAAAAAAGTGTAATAGTAAAATGAAAGCATAATGCCAGAAAAATCAGCATGCAACTAAATTTTATCTCGCAAGTACATGTGAAAAAGAAGGTCACATTTTTTTTGGTGGGTCGGTTGGATTCATGACCGTGCTCAAAATCATGAAGTTGTTTTGATATAGTTACACAGGACCATGTTTGGTATATGGATCAAAGTATATAATGACATGGACACATATAGTAATGAACCAATATTGAAAGACTCATGCATGTTTTCCAGACAAACCTGCGAGCACAGTGCCCGCTAGGTCAGGCCAGCGAGCCAAGCCCGACTGCAGCCGAAAACAACCCTTGGCATTTTCAAGTACTAAATTAAAAACAATGCAATGAGGAAAATGTCATCAATGGATTGATCAACATGATGTTTTGTAGCTATATACCAGCCAGCAAATCCACATGTCATATATCCACACGCCAGCATGTAAACCGAACATGTCTCATTATAACAAGGCCAACATATCTATATTTAACACATGTGAAATATTCACCCAACCCAACAACAACACCCCGATCCCCAGAGAAAAGTTTTAACGAAGTCGATGGACACGATGAAGCACCTGCAGGAGAGACAAGGTGCAAGAGAGAACTTGCAACCAACAACAAACCAACAACAAGAGGTGAGATACACCAGGCTGACATAGACTCTGACAAACCTGTGATATATATTGTGACTGCGAAAACACTGAAGCACCAATGATGTCGATTCAAACATTGAAAATTTGCCATCAAAGTTGGAACGCCCATTAAGCTGAGTGCAGTCGGCAACTGCCACCTTGTGATCATGAAATAATCTGTTGCATAATTAACTGCAGGAAACAACTGTGGGTATTAAACTGCGACCGGTAAAAGTCATCTCAAACATGCAACACTACGATTGCAAACACTGAAGCAGCTTGGGCTAAGCTCGCTGCTTGCACCATTGTCGGGTTACACTCGCAGGTGCGTTGTTGGAAAAATGTTGCAACATCTCTTGATGGCTTCAACAGTGCGTGGAAACCCAAAAGTGACCTGGAGCAGTGCAAGGTAAGAAACCATGATCTTTCTTTGATGGTCGTATAGGTACTTCTGTGCGACCATTTGTTGTCACGATGCTACTTGGTATACATGGCAAATACTATACACTCCATCGAGTTCCCATGCGCCATCGGCTATACCTGAAGACTCAGGCAATGAAGCCACACCACATTGATCAAACTATTCAACATTATGTTGCACCAATATAACAAAGCTGAGGTTTCATCCATATAACACACATGTACCACTGAGAGCATACAACCTGGTGTGGTTTTCGTAGCTGTCATTGCCTCTATGATGTTGGCTAGCCATTCCTGACTTGAAATAAAAGCCAGTGAAACGAGCCCTTATAGAAAACACAGAAGCACACATGATGAGTCGGAACGCCCATTAAGCTGAGTGCAGTTGGCAACTGCCACTTTGTGAGCATGATATAATTTGTTGCATATTTATTCTTTTACATTATTTTTGCCACAGTGTTTGCCGGGCTCATTACGCCTGCTAATCCAGCCAATTCTGCATCGCATGGTGTCCATGGTTAAGTATGGTTATTTCATGAAGTTTTAAGTTATATAAGTTGGGTTAAGTTATATTTCTTAAGTGCAAACTACCCTCACTGTGTGAAGTTAAGTTGGGATAAATATTGAAACTCATGGTTATTTCCTATTTCTTCTCCATGTCCATTGGTTGGATTAATCGACCATGCCCTGGAGAGCATGCGAGCGATGCCCGACAATGCCACAAACGCGAGCACAGCCCGCGGTCGTTGGTGAAAAGATCCAAAAGCACATGGGCAAGCCTGATGTAATACTAAGTTCATGCAAACTGTTGTTGTGCATGTGTAGTCATGGGAACATGTTTGAGCCTATATATGGAGCATGCGAGCGAGGCCCGACAATGCCACAAACGCGAGCACAGCCCGCGGTCGTTGGTGAAAAGATCCAAAAGCACATGGTGTCATTGTGAACGTGAGGTGATGGCTGCACATGGTTGTGTCAATGTTGCCAACATCATTTTGTAACTGCAAGGCTCAGAATATCAATGTGAGACCCTTGGCACCTGTCTTCCCATGGCGCACGTATTGCCCACCTGCAGTTGAAGGTGGTGATGCACATAGTCCTGCAGCGGGGGCAGATCGGGTGTGTTGAACCGACATCATGCTTGGGAATTAGACTTGACCATCCAGATTCATAGAACTACAGCCTTCAAAATTGTGGTTGGATTGTTTTTTTTAACCATCCATCTGGGAACCACGACCTTTGACCTGATCATTGCAATCTTCAAAGTAGATGTAGTTGATGTCCAACCTCAAAAGTTCTTATCATAGTTTTGGGAATCTCAACATTTTGCACTTTTGTGATTTCACATAGTCCTGCACATAGTCCTGTCACTCCGAACTTAAAGTTTGAGGATGGTCAATTCCATCATTCCAGTGACAGTGATGTTTTACCACCGTCATTCCAGGTGATTCCTCACCATTTCAACTTCTGGGTAATTTTTTCAATGACAAAATGAGCTCCACTGTTGTGTGATCATCACAGTCTGCACTGATAGCTGTTATTTCACTAACCTAATTGAGTTCGCAGTGAGGTTGGCATTATTTTTACCCAGACTCAAAACTAACTTAAAATTTGAGGATGGTCAATTCCATCATTCCGGTGACAGTGGTGTTTTACCACTGTCATTCCAAGATTAAATTCCATCCATTAAAGGCCACTGTCCAAATCCCACATGTTTGAGAATGACGGAGTTCAAATGAAACAACAACTACTGCATTCCAAGCTTTTCCAGTGGAACTTCTAGTCTTTATGGATGGATCCAGCCGCACCTCGTCCACACCCAGCTGCTCACCTGATCCCAATCATGTTCATCTCGCACCATGGCTTCAAGGCCATCCCGATCCACGCAACAGTACATCAGGCAATGGAACCTCAATGAAGGCAATGGAAAATGTGCAATGTCACGCATCAATGGCACGCCCAAAACCAGCACATGAAAAAATTCAACAAACCTGAACCTTTACCTGACTCTATATATACAACTTAGACAACCCAATGCAATTTAGCAGCAAATGCCAAGCAAAGAGCTCGACAACATGAACACTCCAGTGATCATCGCGAAGCTGTAGCATCCCAGCATAGCTTTCATACCATCTGCCGCGCGCAAGGTAGCCCACGTCATGGATATAGTTTGCAGCTCCTGGGATCTGCAGGAGCATCACCGTAGCGGCGATGGCCACCGGACGGTGGCCAAGTGACATGTCCTGCAAGTCTTCACGGCGTTGATGGTATATGTCTTCACCGACAGTGAAATGCCCATCCTTCACGTGCTGAAGCAGATCCAAAGCCATACCATTTCTGGATAGGGTATGGAAGCACCAATCGGCTCGTCGCCAGTGATATAGGGCCCTGTCCGCAAGGACTTTCTGTTGTTGATGGCAACTTCGGCATGCAAACTTCCATTCGGACATAACGTACATGGAGCCTGCTTTCCATTGGCATGGATGGACTTCCTTTCGGGACTCCTTCACAGAGTGACACAGTGGACAAAACAGGGGCTCCACTGCCGGAGTCATCGCCAATGAAACCATTGCCATGGCAACAGAAAACAACGGAGAGGTGACAATGGCGGGGTGACAGTTGACAGGTGGATGCCAAAATGGCTGCAGGAGTGAAATAATGGAACAACACATTTATCGGTTGACAAAGTTGACAGATCTGAGCTCCATGTGTCATCAACCCAAAATGAAAACAAATTTGATGCTGCAGCGGTGAAATGATGCCCAATATTTCCCAGCCTCAAACCATTCCATGATCACAGTGTTGATGTTTGGAATCCTGCCATTGAAAGAATAGCAGAGCTGCAAAACTGCACACCAGAAATTGGCTAGTTACTGGTTCAAGTCAATGATGGTGAAGTAAAAAAACATCGCTTGCTTACAACGGTCCTTGTCTGATCCCATTGCGCCTGCTGATCCAGCCAATTCTGCATCGCACGGTGCCCATGGTTAAATATGGTTATTTCATGAAGTTTTAAGTTATATAAGTTGGGTTAAGTTATATTTCTTAAGTGCAAACTACCCTCACAGTGTGAAGTTAAGTTGGGATAAATACTGAAACTCATGGTTATTTCCTATTTCTTCTCCATGTCCATTGGTTGGATTAATCGACCATGCCCTGGAGAGCATGCGAGCGATGCCCGACAATGCCACAAACGCGAGCACAGCCCGCGGTCGTTGGTGAAAAGATCCAAAAGCACATGGGCAAGCCTGATGTAATACTAAGTTCATGCAATTTGTTGTTGTGCATGTGTAGTCATGGGAACATGTTTGAGCCTATATATGGAGCATGCGAGCGAGGCCCGACAATGCCACAAACGAGAGCACAGCCCGCGGACGTTGGTGAAAAGATCCAAAAGCACATGGTGTCATTGTGAACGTGAGGTGATGGCTGCACATGGTTGTGTCAATGTTGCCAACATCATTTTGTAACTGCAAGGCTCAGAATATCCATGTGAGACCCTTGGCACCTGTCTTCCCATGGCGCACGTATTGCCCACCTGCAGTTGAAGATGGTGAAGCACATAGTCCTGCAGCGGGGGCAGATCGGGTGTGTTGAACCGACATCATGCTTGGGAATTAGACTTGACCATCCAGATTCATAGAACTACAG